TGAACCTAAAGAAGGAAAGAATCGTGCACAGAATCCTGGAGTCAAAAAAGCTCCTGGTGTTATCAAAAACTGTGTTAAAGTGGAGAACCTAACAGCAGAACAAGATGATGTGTTTAATTCAAACGAGAAAATGTTGTGGATTAACGGACCCGCAGGGACGGGAAAAAGTGTGATACTGTGCGGCAGAATAATCCAACTTGCGCAATCTAATGAGGACAATAAGGTTGTGTTGTTTAAATTCGGCGGTGATGGTAATAACTGTCAGCTTTATCAGTGTGCATTAGAAGAAGCTAGTGTAGAATTCGAAGAGACCAGCATGACTGACACTGTCACCGAATTAGTTACCCTTATATCAGAGAGTAAGTGTAAAGTTATCATTGTAGAGTTGAGTATGATATGTAGTCCTGTACTGGTACAGGAGCTCACAGATACAATCGGTGCTGCGACCAACTGTCACATATTTATTGATGATATACAGGAGTTATTGTATTTCAATGAAACTGAGGAGTGTAAAAGTGTACTGATAGAAATGTTGTTATTATCAGAATGCTCTGTCAGAGTTGCATGTGACTTGGTACAGTGTTACTGGGAATTGTCCGGAGAACAATTTATTGAAATAGTACGTATGATTACTGACAAACTATCATCTAGTCAGTTGGTAACTTTATCAATAAATCTTAGAAATACATGTGACATATCTAATATCTTATGTGTAATACGAGAACAGTTTAGAGAATCACGTTCAGATAGAACCAATGTATCAGATATGATTTTACCTGCACAATTATAAGGACACTTCATACATGGATCATTACCTGTTATACATGTTTTTAATGATTGTAATGTTGATAATATTGGACAGGTGATTGATAATGAGTTAAATAGATTGTGTGATGAATTAAATTATTCTGATATAAGTATAGTATATAATGCTGAGTGGAATAGTAGTGATGTAGTATCACTAGTTGAGGACAGTGTTAATATGAGATGTGATAACACTGCTAGTCAGATTGCAGTGTGTAACAGTATGGATTGTGCCTCTAGTGAGTGGCCTGCTGTAATAGTACTGTGTGAAGTGTGGGGTAGAGAGGAGTGGGACCTGAGTGACTTTTACTTAGCGTTATCAAGAGCACGTGTTTACTGCTCTGTTGTTATATACCCAGTTAAGGGTAGTATATTAACCGATTCACCTCATATTTTACGCTTGTTAGATAAACTGAGTAACTTTGCTAGTATTATACGTTATTAGTTTTAATGTTACTGTGTAATAACGATGGTGGGTGGCTAGTTCTATTGTTATGAAACATGTATACATATGCCTTCAGAGCTTTAGTGTGTGATTGCACAGTTGATCTGTTGATTTTGAATAAATTCATTGAAAATTTGTGAATAATTTGAAATTTTGCCTCAGTCGGGATTTTAACTCGCAACCTACGGGCTGTTAGCAAGCAAGCAAGCATCTAACCAATTGCGCCACTGAGCTGATAGTCGTGCAAATATATTAAGATAGCAATTAAGTGTTAACTTGTGGAAAATGTCACCCACTTACCTAAGTATATTATTATAGTTTAATTGTGTTTCCTTTCTGATTTATTGTTAAATATTTTAGTGTTTTTATTAAAATGTTCTATAAAATACAATGGGTGGGCCAAAATTAACATAATGATTAAAAAACGTACGTCAAATAATAAAAATGACAAAAACTAAAAACGCGACTAGTCTGCTGAATTAACTATTAATAAATAAGTGCAGTACTTAATATTTGCAAACAAGATTCAAACAGAACAATTAGGTGTTTATTTCAAGTCTTATTCACGTTAGAATATCTCTAACTTTCCTGAAATTATTAGGTCAATTATAAAAGTCTTGGACGGAAGTCAGATGGCACAATCTGAACAAACCGTAAAGTATGCGAATGACATTTAAACGTTGGCAACTGCAATTTATTAACGCTCAACCGATAAATACAAAAAGAACTGAGTAGACGAACCATATTACTATTGGAAAACAGTGTACAGGGAGTTGGGCTCGCTAGCGGACGCTGACCAGTGACCAATCACGCGCCAGAGAGAGTTCTCTATTGGTGGAGAGAGACCACGTGACTGGAGATGCGACATCGTATTGGTCAGACCAGTAAAACACGTACCAGCAGTTTGATCCTCTTATCTCTGTCTGTGAATAAATTGTCGTTTCTTAAAAATAAAGCGTTAGGGGTCGTTCACAATATACCTACTACGTAAATAATATTTTTGCAATTTTTACCCCCCTCCCCCCTTCTGTAATCAAGACCCAACCCCCCTCCTGACAGCAATATTACGTTATCATGGCCTGACCCCCCCCCCCCCCCCCCCCCCCCCCCCCCTTGATACGATCATTTTTCCTGGAAATTAATGAAATTCCTGATTGATATCCGGCCAAGCACCTTTTAAACTACTTACTATAGTCTGTTAAGTGTTATTCGATCAATCTCTAAATTTGATCACTATCATAGTGAAATTGAGTGGAATTTTAATTAAAATATTGTCAAATTGTTATTATTCTAGAGGGTAAAAAATAAAATTTTGATTACGTAAAAACAACCAAACTCCCCCCGAGTTATACTGAGTATAACGACGCAGTAAATAAATCCCACACCAAAACTTGATTTCATTCCACTACCATCACGTGACTCACGTCCCCTAGTTTGTAACCTCATTACCTCACTTTTAACCTCATTAAAATCTAGTTACCTCCCGATTACCTCATCACAGGACCGTCTCATTACACTTGTAACTTATTACACCGTCTCCTCTGACGTTATCCTCTCTAATCGGCTGGTTTACTCTCATGTAACTGTACACCACCATGTGCCATTAGTGGTCTACACATACCGAATAAGGAGTAATGACCATATAAGGAGTTTATTGTAACCGTATAAGGAGCGGTAGTGTGGGTCAATAATGTCCAAATAAGGTATAATTGGGGGACACACTTAGCGTGCATTACCGCGGCAAAGCTTTTAGCTACAGAGAGAGGTGAAGTCTGGGGCAGGTTATGTGACGTTTTCAGTTCCTTCATAGTCGTCCCCTCGGCCTGTACCGTATCAGTTACACTTTGTACAGCGCTCTGAGTGTGTGTAGTCTCAGCTCTCTTGTGTAAATTCGTCATTCTTTGTGTCGGACTCCGTGTTTGTTTTACTAATAAACGAGTTTATTTCGTTGTTGCTGGTAACAGTAAAAACACGAACGTTGCCCCTGGCAGCTGAATTATTTTCTCTCAGCAGCTGAATTCTTTTCTCTCAGCAGCTGAATTCTTTTCTCTCAGCAGCTGAATTCTTTTCTCTCAGCAGCTGAATTCTTTTCTCTCAGCAGCTGAATTCTTTTCTCTCAGCAGCTGAATTATTTTCTCTCAGCAGCTGAATTCTTTTCTCTCAGCAGTTGAATTCTTTTCTCTCAGCAGCTGAATTCTTTTCTCTCAGCAGCTGAATTCTTTTCTCTCAGCAGTTGAATTCTTTTCTCTCAGCAGCTGAATTCTTTTCTCTCAGCAGCTGAATTCTTTTCTCTCAGCAGCTGAATTCTTTTCTCTCAGCAGCTGAATTCTTTTCTCTCAGCAGCTGAATTCTTTTCTCTCAGCAGCTGAATTCTTTTCTCTCAGAAGCTGAATTCTTTTCTCTCAGCAGCTGAATTCTTTTCTCTCAGCAGCTGAATTCTTTTCTCTCAGCAGCTGAATTATTTTCTCTCAGCAGCTGAATTCTTTTCTCTCAGCAGCTGAATTCTTTTCTCTCAGCAGCTGAATTATTTTCTCTCAGCAGCTGAATTATTTTCTCTCAGCAGCTGAATTCTTTTCTCTCAGCAGCTGAATTCTTTTCTCTCAGCAGCTGAATTCTTTTCTCTCAGCAGTTGATTTTCTGACCTTTCTACGGAAGATTTGTTGAATTTTCGCTCTGATCGCTGGTATAAGTGATGTGTTGTAGAAACTGCTGTGTTTTTACAATTTACAGTTTGCATTTGTTATCGATTGTTATCACAATTCACAATCGTTATTTGTTTTTACAGTTTACATTTTTTTTCACAATTTACATTTGTTATTTTTTCTCACAGTTTACATTTGTTTATTCTTCTTTACATTTGTTTATTATTTGTTTTGGTCGTAATAACAAAAAAGCTCGTTTGTGGGATAACTGTCAGAAGTGTTAAAAAAAAGGATATTTATAAATTAATCAGCTAATTCCTTGAAGTTGACAAGTACATGTTTAAAAAAGTTGTTTTGTAAAAAGACAACAGTAAATATACCATGCAGAATATTATGATAAACCGTGTTATATAAATCACAAGTTTATTCTCATCTCACGCGATTGATCGTGCTATGAGTGTACTCATTACTCGAGTATTAAAGTATTAAGTTATTTTTAGCTTCGTGCAATATGCCACCCAACAAGCCAGACATTTGTGGACGTGATTGTCATTTAAATGACAATTGTTACATATAAATTAACGCTGCATTTAGCCTTTTGTAGCTGCAAAGTGCGAGGCATCTCACCGTGTATTTAAACTAAAATCTTATGTAGAACCAGTTATAGATTAATAGTATAAAATATATAATTGTACTTATTGCTTGATATACGAAAACTTATTTCGGCCAGATTTGATTTTTGTTACTTTTATTCAGTATTTTCGTGGGAGTTATTCTGCAACTCCTTTTTGTTTCATATCATGATGGGCTGCTCATTATTTTCGATAGAACTTTACATCCGACATGGCTGTCAAGTACGATCGTATTGAATCTCAGTGACACTTTAGTAAAACCTTCACTTATTAATAATATCTTGAAAGAATTAGATGTATGACGTATGATGTATGACGTTTGTATGACGTATTATACTCTGGGATGAGCAATCTAATGGTATTTAAGTAATATAGTGTACGAATTAGTACTGTCCCCTAAACTGACACCTAAATACACATCGTGTGTTTCCTGTCAATTATCACCAAGATACCTGAGGTGTAACCATGGTTACACTTAACACTAGGCAGGCGCTCCTAATTCTTCGCCACACTTTTCCTGTCTCCTCCTAGCAACCACAAAAGAGTGAGAGTCCTGTTACTAGAAAAAGAGTACTGTTTGTTTACGAATACTCACGTTTAGCTTCGTTCTGTAGTGTAGTGCTTGTTTTTCTTGTGCATTTCTCGGATTTTCTCTTGATTTCGTCGCTACTCTTACAAGTATACTTTACGCGGTGTGACAGCTGGAAACTGGATTCTTGAGCTGATCTATACGCTCTTCTGAAGTTAATTTACGTCATTTGAAGTTGATCTACGTTGTTTGAAGTTTATCTACGTTGTTTGTAAAAGTTGACCTAAGCTCCTCGCTAGATCCCTGCGGACCCAGGATAAGGAGAAAGGAAGGAGCGGAATAACACCACCAATCATCAGCTCTGAGTCCGTTTTACTGCAGACAGCTGTTCAACGAACTACACTTCAGTTATAACATCTAAACTACCTATCACCATGGAGAGAAGAACGAGATGCACCCTAGCAACCCCCTACACCTCCATAGCAACCCCCTACACTACAAACTCTAACATGTAATTAAATAATTACCTCTAATGATTATAATTAGACCAATAGACCTTGTGATAAATTATACAATAATACTCCGCAAACACTACATCATTGTACGTGTTCTGTTGCTCGTTATACTGCCCTACAGTCCACTCTGATGGCTAGTGGCTACGGCCTACGTTCCAATATATTGTATTGAATCAGTTACCAGTTCATTGTGCGTGTACCATGATTCATGAGTTATTATATACTTATATATATAGTGTTCTATTCTGTTGTCTGTTCTCCTGATCCGTGAGTTGCTCTGCGCCTGTTCATCTGTTGCACTCTGTGTCTACAAGTTACATCTCTACAACACTATTGTGCAATTATGTGTGGCTATGTTCCAGAAGCAGTATAATATATTGAACCAGTCACGCTGTTACTTTTATTAACAGTTATATTGACTTCTTTGTGCGATATATTGTTGCAGGTAGCTCGTTTTACTCATATAAACGTTTTATTGGATGGAAGAAATACAGCAGTATTTACTCCATTCCCTAGCATTGACCGTACAGTGGAGCTTTCTGACTCGTATTCTGTTCCAGTTATTTCGCAATCGTTTGCCAGATATACGTACCACAGTAAGCATTGTTGGTTGCTAATAGTAACTAATAGTAACTTATTGGTTGCTAATAGTAACTAATAGTAACTAATAGTAACTAATTGGTTGCTAATAGCAACTCTCCTCCATCCTACACCTCTCCCACTACCACTCCTAAAACAGAGCCCAGCTGCTACACGCTTATACTCGCATTGAATACACTCCCTCCTGATAATGATTAAGATCTAACGTACTGTACGCTATTTTAGCTCCACGATCTCAGAGTATGTTGTTTCTAAACTGATTTGCGGAATATTCCAAATAAAGGGTGATATTGCAAGTCTGCCAGAGTCTGCTTTATACTTTGGTTAATTCAGCCGCAGACTAGTCGAAAAAAACGCGGGAGAAACTGCTTCAAAGTGACTGCTAAAAATTTAGCAGATTTAAAAAAATTAATGATCGCCAAAAATTCCCCTTAATGTCAACTCTGCCTCATCAAGTGTTCGTTTTTAGCGTGTATAAACCCCCACCCCCAGCAATAGGACTGCAAACACTCAACATGCACTTAGAGGCTGCTATAACTTCTGATTACACTTCGGGGCACCTTCACCGTTCAACTTGCACATTATTAATACACATAATCCCATGTTGTGGCTGAGGTCGCCACCTACATCCCGCTCTATAATGTACGTGTGACTATCCGATATCAGGCTCTATTCTGTCATCGTTATTATTGGAATTCTCCAAAACTATAATTTGCTGGGCATTTTGTTGTTCATAATTTGATATTCATTCCATTCTTAGTTCATAATTGAGTCATAACAGCCTACTCGACACTCTTGTTTACACTCAGTGACTATGAAGTGACCAGCCTACTCGACACTCGTGTTTACACTCAGCCTGCTCGTGCTTTGTCTTGAACAGTGAACTCGTTTTCTATATTTCTCTAGTTTGTTTATGATACTCATCTCGCTACCTCGGGTTACGCTATATATCGGGTGTATCTAGGCACAGTCAGACCACAGTCAGATCACAGTCAGACTACAGTCAACCCCTCCTGTGAAAGGCTGGTCTCTGATATCTCCCAAGTGTCTTACGTATATAGTCTCTGAACCGTGCCCCAGGCCCCTGCACCATGCCTTATGACGCAGCTGTTACATCACGGAAATTTAATCTGCGTAAAACTTTGAAACCCACTTAGATTAAATCACTCGTTTTCACTTATTGTGTGAATTTGGGTTTTTGATTCCACCACTTATTTAAGTATTAAACACTTATTAAATCACTTGTTAAATGTACTTAGTGTAAAACAGATCAATAATTAAGTCATGATTGTTACACCGAGTATCCTCCATAACAATAATCATAACCAAGACCCGATTTACAATAACGCTCACACCATCTACTATTTGCGTTGTCACAGTGATGTCACAGTGACGTAACTGTGATGTCACAGTGACGTAACTGTGATGTCACCGCCTTCAAATCGGCATGAAAAAATAAAAAATTGGCCAAGGAATAATAATTTTAGAGCCGAAAATTTGGGCCCCCAAGTGGTGTCAAAAACGCCGATTAAATAGGTAATAATTATTTTAGTATTTTGAGTCTTGACACCGTTTAGGGTTATATTATACGGGTTCCTGCTAGTAAATAATAAAACCACCGTCTAATTCCTGTATTTGATCTTTAATAATATCCTACACCCACATAAGCTATGTAGTATGTACAACATTTTACCACGTTAACTAATTAATAAACTAATTAGTTAACTTATTAATTAGTCAATTAACTAATTAATTAACGATAACTATTTATTTACAATCACCGTTAGGTGGTCCAATAAGACAGCTAATACACTGGAGACGAACAGAGACAGCACAATCTCCAGCCAATACAAGGATTACCTGTACAGCAACAAGTTTAGAACATTCTCAGACGACAGCACCAATAGTACCAGCAACAATCCTGAGCTGTCCATTGATATCAACGGTAATATTAATAAAGGAGTAATTATTATTAGTAGTTATTAAGATAATTATAATAACCTTTGTAACAATCATAACAATAATCATGATTCATGGTACATATAAGTTACTGTTACTTTGATATCAACGGATTCTAACCTTCCAGTGTATTGATTCAAAACCAGATGTTTTGTTTCGGTTAAATAAAATGCTTCATTGAATATATACAATAATATAACGTTTCAAAGTCATGAACACAAGCTGTTTTAGCTATTAGAGTTTTTCATTTACAAGTGATACAAAGTCTACATGTTATGCATAATGCAGATATAATACTATGATACGATAGGATCAAGAATAATTATTATATATTATTATAATATTAATTATTATTATAATAATATTATAATATTAATTATTATTATAATATTATTATAATATTAATTATTATTATTATATTAATTATTATTATAAGTATTCACTCAATTCAGCCATTTCTGTCAGGTAAAATAAAGATGTCAAACTGCGAAGTGGACGCAGACGAAGAGTTTGATATCCGGTCCTTATCGTCCATGAGAATGAAAAAGCTGATAAGTTCCATGGAGTATATTTCAGTAAACGAGGATAAGGTAAGCTTTATAGATTAGGCTTGAAGATAAGTTAAGCTTTATAGATCAAGCTTGAAGATAAGGCAAGCTTTATAGATTAGGCTTGAAGATAAGTTAAGCTTTATAGATCAAGCTTGAAGATAAGGCAAGCTTTATAGATCAAGCTTGAAGATAAGGTAAGCTTTATAGATCAAGCTTGAAGATAAGTTAAGCTTTATAGATCAAGCTTGAAGATAAGTTAAGCTTTATAGATCAAGCTTGAAGATTTGAAGTGATCCTTGAATTAACTATCTCCATCATCTATAACTCTACCCCAGGGACAAAAGGATTTCGCGGCGATTTTGGCCAAAAATCGCGATACCGCGAATTACATTTCGCGGTATATTAAACTATACATAAAATTTGTCGCAAATAATAGGAAAAATCGCGATTCCGTACATGCCGCGATTTCCTTTTGTCCCTGCTCTACCCTGGATTCAAGTTTCGACCTCGTTGTCACTATCAGTTATTCCAGTGACGAACAAGACAGAGTATAAGCCATGTGTTATAATGTTCCAATAAAATAAATGTGTTCAGGAAAACCAAGTGTCGGGGAAGAAACCGGAGATGTTTTCAACACTGCCACTGCGTAAACACAGTAGTATGGGTACTAACCTGGGCACTAACTCTCCACTTAGACCCAATAAACGCGTTCACTCGGTACGGTTTCTACACTCTAATAGGCCTGACAAGTCGTTATTATTTTTATCTTGTAAAGTTGTGAGAATCACCCATTTCTAAGTTCAGGATTTCAGTTCATCATTCAGCGTGAAATACATTTTGAATGATGTTGTTTCAATGACCTCACCTTTCCTCCAGGTTGAGATCCCAGTTACAGCGTTGCCAGGCGACCAGTCAGTTTTCCAAACTGATCTAGATCAGGGAGTAGCTAAACTCAGGGTCACTCCAGGTCAGTTTAACTGTTTGTGGAGAATTGAGAGGATTTGTTAAGATGGTTACAAATGATAATAATTATACATATATGATACAAAGAAAACTCCATTTACGGACGTGAGGAGAGTTAGGACTCCTCAATAACTACATTAAATGCATTCCTTCTGTAACGTCCTCAATAAATGTAACAGATTTGAAGTGTTGTAATTAGTTCTAAACATATCACATACGAGTTATTTACAACTGAATAATTTCAGATGAAGCCCGGGAAATAATGAAGTTCATAAATGAGAAGATAGCATCCAGAACCTCAATGCAGACAGCGGGGACTGATACGGTGGCAGCGAGGCCTCCGCAAGGTATAGCTCATAAATCCAAAATAAGGAAGCCATCTTCAATCTATAACCTTGTTTTATTTTAAAAGTATGGCAAAATCTGTGATGACTTCAGGTATCAAAATAAAAAACAGTGACGTTCGTAAACTGCGACATACCCCAATCATTGTGACCCAAGCGTCATTTTACTCTTTATGCGACCTTAGCGTTTTCATTAACCTATAAAAGATTCCCCACCACTAGAGTGTGTACCAGAAGAGCCCTCTGTGGCGGAGGGAAGTAAAATAAAGGAGACACCTCCCCCTATCCCTAGTAGAGGAGACCCTATGCCTAGTAGAGGAGACCCTATGCCTAGTAGAGGAGAAGACACTGGCTCCGAGAGTAGGAGCAGGATACACAGAGGCTTCAACAGTATGCCGCTCATGCACCGCTCTGGGGATCAAGTGAGTCAGCTTTAGTTGCTCTTTTAATTTGTTAATTATTATTTAATACTGTTTGATTGATTATTTTACTGTGCGAGTAAGCGGTTGTGGAACTTCTAAACTCTAACTGATCGTTAGTTTATGAAATATTGTCATTCTAGAACGTTCACTCATAGCACACTTCAAACACCACAAATCCTTCCACCATCCTGGAAACATCTGGAAACATCTGGGCTCACCTGGAACATATACGGATAGAAATGTTGCAATGTTATATGCCCCAGAAGGTTTTGTGCCCCAGATTACTTTGTTTTGTACCCTATAAGTTCACGTTTAAAGTACGTGATAAACTACCCCGTGTGTAAAGCTTGCTAGATTATCAAATAATCGCGACTAGGCGAAATGTTGGAATTACATGATGTGATTCTGGGTTTATTCTCGCGTAATGATTTAAGTGGTTCTCTTCTTTTTATGAAGTATTCCCCTTTTCTACGATACCATCGTGTTTTCTCAGTTTATTTCTTTTAATTTGATGAACAATATTATTGTAATTAAAATCATTAATCGTTAATCAATTTTCAAAACTTGCTTTGATCACATCGGATCACAGAAGTTTCTAGTGACTCACCAGAATCTTCCCTTTGATGTGTTCGTGACTTGGCTTCCCGCCAAAATTTATAATCCACAATACTTAGCAAAACAATTATGCCTATATAACATCGTATACCTTACATAATATTATTACATATATATATTATTATATTGCCTTAAGTTACATTTTCATCTGCTCACACTCTATAGCTTAGGTGAAATATCATAATTCAATGTTGCTCGTGTGTTTTGTAATGACGATCTTATTGTAAATTATCTTACAATAATATGCAATATCTAATTATTTGTTCCTTTGAATAAGCTTTGATGTGACCATAAAATCACTTTCGTTGATTTTATAACTTCGTTCAAGTTTCTGTAACGGTCTAAACGACAACTTATCTCTGCGAGTTCCATTGCCACTGTCAACTGTCAAGCTTGTTCACATTAGCCAACATATTAAGCTATATCATTACAAAAGTAAATAGTACGGTAACCAGTATAGTAACCAGTATAGTAACTATAGTTACCAGTATAGTAACTATAGTAACCAGTATAGTAACTATAGTAACTACTCCGTTACAGCAACAAGTCAAGAAGTGCTCACCATTGTTTGGGTCCTCTGTCCCTTAATCATTGCAACGAGCTGTGGTTATGAAGATCACTAACTAACTAACTGTACAGTGTAACTAACTTACTCAGTTACTCCATCGTGGCGCACTACAATCACATCATAGTGGCCGGGTTCATGCGGTTTAACAGTAACAGTAACCTAGTAACGGTGTTTACAAATACCGGTTATTGTTCCCCACTTCCTACAATTATAGGAGCTGTTATAAGGAATTTACACAAACAAACAAACAAACATTTCCATTGTGCACAATTCTATATAATACGCCCCTCGTTCTATATAGCCTCTATTACAACATCTATTATAGACACATAACCTAAAAACAGATCCACACTCCACAGCACACTCTGTACAGAGTCAGTCTCTTGGTTTGTTTTCAGCTGTTTGATGATCCACCGTACGTAATACTCACACAGTGTGTGTTTTACTCCACATTAGTGGATCTCTCTCTCTCTGATCTCTACGTTCACACACAGTTTGACATGCCCTGACATGGTCACTTCAGATAAGTAGATAATCTAATGATCCAGGATCCTAGTTTCAGAGATCTAACTGCACCAAGATACAAGTAATTACCTAATTAGTTAATATAATTACCACACTTTTAAGGAATGTTTGCACGCCATATGGCCAGCTGAGACTGGCTGTAAAGCTTATTGTAATGCGGTGAAACATGATATTTCTAATTCCTGTTTCGTAGAGGGAGGGCTATGTGGCCTCTGTATTAACACATATAGCACTGCTGGGTCCTGTGTGATTCAATTGGGTTTCTGATGAGAATACGGTTCATCACTTTCTCGTAACTTTGTAACCTGATCATCATATCCTCTTCTTTGTCTGTTGCAACTTAATGTCACAATATCAATACCGCAATCTTTCAAGGTCTTATCGTCCTTTTTCGTTTTATCATGTAGCATTGCGAGCTTGTGTGAGTTGTGAATTGTATTATGAATTGTATTGGGTTGTATTATAGGTCCTGTATTGGGTTTCTCATGATAATATGGTTTCGATCATAACTTTCTAGCAACTTTCTAGTTATCTGATAACATGTCATTTATTGTCAACAATATACGTTTTTAATCTGAATATCTTCTCTTTTCTTTACACTATTTTACGAATCACTCCTATTTAGCACTGTGAGTGATACAAGCTGCAGCTATTATAATGTCAGTTGAAATGCGACCACGTCGTGCGTACCACAACGACTCCATCCGGCGTCACTCCCTCAACATGGCGCTAATGTCAGATATATCTTCCAAGAAGACCTCCAGAGACAGCCTCACTGAGCCCATCAGGCAGGTTTCTCTGGAGGAACATCTTGATCCTATCAAAGCTAGACTCGAGTTTGAAAACTGTGATGAAGTAGAGGTCGGTAATCTTGCTTCAACTAATGAAGTAATACTCGACAATCCTGATCTCTCATCAGCTGATAGTCCTGATCTATCATCACCGAAGAAGATACCCACTAAAGAAGAAGAAGAAGAACTAGAAGATTTGCTGGAGAGTTTCGACACAAATGTCCTTCAAATGGAGAAGAGCAGAATGGTGGGAAGCTCTCTGAATAACCAGATGGTTGCAGAGAGTCTCAACATCTCCCCTGACAACAGCAGTGTTGCTGATGATATAGTCGCTGTGAAGGTACCAACTGTAGCCGATATACCCAGGCCTTCTATCATCAGTGAGGCTGATATCAGGAATGTCAACGGAAGTGAAGCTGGTGATCTTGAAATTGATACAATTGTCGAAGATACTCCAATTGAAGAGATTGACGATACGCCAATAGAAGAGATCGAAGATACACCAATAGAAATTCTCGAAGCTGAGCCCAAAGCAACTTCCTCTCCTTCAAAAGAGGTCTACACGTTGGTGGAGGCCGATGTGAAGTTTAGAGTAAAACCAACTCCAGATAGGACTGTAAAACCTGCAGTCTCCGTATCTCCGATCTACGCGGAGGTGATAAAGACTGTCCCTTCAGAAATAGCGGATCTAGGTCCACTCCCCAATATTCCTCTAGAATCAGCAGCACGACCAGCTTCTTTAGCTCTTACTCAACAGGAAACTAAAGAGCTCCTCAACTTTATCAATAATAAGATCAGCAGTAGAATTCAGCTTGATATCGCTCCAGAACCTCCCGTACCAGAAACACCAGTAAGTTTATTATAATTAATTTGATAAAACTGTCCCTTTTTTACATAAAGCTCTCGCTGTACTATACCGTTATCTGTTTCGCATTCACTAACATTCCATATTATGGCATACTTTGTAAAATCAAATCATTGATATACTTGAACTCGCGCATCTGTTTATCTCCTATTGCCATTGGATCTAGAACCATTAACCAGCCTAAATTAACGAAAGCTCAGTAATATTTTTATAAACCCTTTGTACCTCCTTCGGTTACACAAAGTATGTGTGATTATGCAGCAGAAGTATTGATTTCAGTAGATTGTTTATGACTACCAAGGTAATGATGACATACTCTGCTTGCACATAAATTATAGACAGGCCAACCGCGGTACCTGCTCTATTTTTGGAACCCTAGTTAGTAATTTATTTTTTCTAATCATCGTCGTTCAATGTTAAGCCCTAGTGATTGATAAAGGGTATTTAACATAATCTGTGTGTTGGAACTTTACCAACTAAGTTGCTTTGTTGGAGCTTTGCCAACGGGAAATGCCTGTAGATGGGACATATGTTGTGGAGGGTGAGTATCTAGTTACTGTTGAACGACTGTCTACCACTGAGGTAAAGAAACATGTGCCGACCACAGAGCGCAGAGGCAGGAAACCATTGAGATCTACGAGCAGTTATAGTGATGAAGACAATGTGTCTCCAAAGGAACCTAAACAGAAAACTTCCTTCATAAAGAAGCTTAGGAGCTCATTCAAATCAAAGGAGAAGCGTGTGTCAGACCAGAAGGATGAGTCAGCAGATATAGTTTCTGAACACTCTCTCTCCGATAATATCCCGATACAAGATCTCTCTAAAAGTCTGGGAGGTTCTAGGATGGAAGAGAATAATACTGCTGATGAAGCTGAGGAGTTGGATATCGACAACACTGACCAACCACCCTCCCACACTAAATACACGTTAGGAACTTGGTCTTCTCCACAATATGCTGATCCCTTGCACGTGTCTGTAGATGAAGAAAAAGCTTTGTTTGCTGAAAATAACGGTGATGTAGATTTAGACGAGCTTATCAGATCTCTAGAAAGTGGAGTTTACGACATTCCTCCCCGTTCTACCAAGTCTACCACAACCACTTCCACTCCCTCCATCTGTAAAGGCAGTGAAGCAGGAGAGGTTCCAATGGATCTGCAACTCTCTATAATCTCATGTGGGACAAGCAGCAAGAACTCTCCCCCGAGCGTGGAGTGTAACTCTGATATTCCTCTTCCAGTACAGTACCTGCAACTGGAGAATGATGTTGATGAGGTATCCGGACATGAGTATCAGATCCTGAACGAGACTGCTCCGGAAATTGAGAAATCAAGGAGCTCCAACAAGTCTGTTAATAAGGATGAGTTCCCTTTCAACGCTAAGAAACAAATCAATATAGATGTTATCATGTTTCCAAATAATGATATAGCTTCAGAAGCTTCGGAGTCTTTGTATTATGATAAGGTACTGAACCCAGTTGAAAATGTAATAAATTACAAGTTTTGGACCCCTTTTCTGAGTTATTGAATTGAGCAATTATCTCTTGATATTCTGACACACTAATTACACATTTCACCAAAACACTGGGAGTTTAGTCCATACTGGGAGTTTAGTCCATACTGATATGCGAATCGTTGTTTTTGTCTACCTGTTTTGAGTGAGTGGTCTCTTAAACTTATAACGATATTTTCAGATTTCGGTTAAAGAAGTTGAAACCTCGCCTCCAGAAGAGGTTAACGATCTCAACGAAGAGAAACCAGACGGGGCGAAACCTAAACTGTCGTTCATGAACAAGCTGAAGAAGTCGTTCAAGTCTTGCAATTCAGATAAAAACAAATCTCCGACTATCCCCCAGGTTCGTCCTGAATTATAATCAAATTTTAGGTCAACAAATATATTATTTTGAAATAATTTATTTTTCTCAGATTATCAACTATCCTTTGTAATGTTTTTGGCGACATTTAAAACTGTTTTTAATTGACTAATAAACCCGAGAGAAATACCTTTTAAATATTCAACAACACTACCATAGGCATATAAGGTAATGTTACTATGGTAACACTACTATATAAGGTAATGTTACTATGACAACACTAAAACTCTCCTATTCCTCAGCTTTCCCGCCCACCCTCCTCCTACATCGGCTCCCAAATGTCTCTGAACCACAGTTCAGTTCACGGTTCAGTTCACAGTCTCACTCTGCAACATGCACCCCCTCTTGAGAAGCCCCAGACCCCAGTGCTGGAGCTTCTTTCTAAAAACCCTGAAATGTGCTCACAGGATTCTCTCAACAGAATAACCAGGTTTGTTATTGAGCTCTTATATATCCTGTTATCACTCCTGCAGTAATGGATAATGGTTTGTTATTGAGCCTGTAAACTGTAATAAGTTCTAAATTATTGTCTTGTTTGGGCATCATGTGAGTCTGTAAACATTAATAAGTGACGTATGTATGTAAAATATCACTGAATATGTTTTTAAATGCACCACTATAAAACAGTGGCTAAATAGTTGTTCTACATTCAGAATGCCTGAGGTGCAAGCGGAGGAAGTTGGCGAGGTAAAAGCTGTGATGTCTGATCCTGATTTGGTTGCCTCAACAACTACGGGACGCAGCAGGTAATTTAGTTCTAAATTATTACCATATTCGGGCATCACGTGACCTTCATACTCTTGTTATAACGTTCTTTGGATTAGGCTGTCAATCTGGTATATGAACTTACTGCCGATATTATGCATCGCAAAAGAGCCCAAGAAGGCCCTTGAGGCCCTTTTTGAAAAATTACGTATTTAAAGTTACCTAATAACTCAAACTGTATCTACCGCGATCAATACATTTGTTTACTTAAATATATTTACATTTTATTTTATAATTGTACTGGCACACGTTCTTGGTTGAACCAACCGAGTATAAATCAGACATACCAGATTACAGATCCCAATTAACTCCAAGCCGATCATAACTTAAAGAATTCCTTATAGATCTGCTAAGAGAGATGACAAAACCAAACGACGTTCTCGATCCAAATCTTTAACAAAGCTGATAGGAGGGATGGCTCGGAAAGCAAAGTAAGAGATTACAGACAAACCGACACCGTAACAACTTGTTACACTACCATATATGGTAGTGTTACCATAGTAACACTGCCATAATATATGGTATTACACACAAATGGTAACTCTGACACTGTAACCAACATATCAGATGTAATGAAGCATGAAGTTAGACGAGACTTTTTATGACAAACTGAAACAGACTGCAGTGTTCTGATGGACGCTTGACTATTATTTGGAGCAGATATTTATGGAAGAATTGTGATAATGCTGCAGACGACAAACCAACGTTCATTAATCATGACTATATTGGGCGAGACAGAATTTCCTGCTAACTGATTTTGATCACTATCCCTAATGACGAGGAATGAAGACGTTGCACTGTTATTGCATTGTGTTTCAATACTGTAAGTGTAATTTAATCGTTGTCCTTCTAATTACCTTAATTACCTTAATTACTTGATTATTTCAGATCACTTACCAATGTAAGTCCTATTCCAAAGAAGTCGGAGGATAAGAGTCCTGATTACGTCAACGATATTCGTAAGTCATTTCTACTTTTAGTGACTTCAAATAAATTTGCTGACTGCTTTTATACATATCAGTATCCCTTTGTGGCAGATAAGAAATTAAGTGGGTAATTAAACCATGTTTCAATGATGATCCTACCAAATTATTAACACCCCCTTTACAGCAGGAGGAGGGAGTGTAGCCCCACCAAATTATTAACACCCCCTTTACAGCAGGAGGAGGGAGTGTAGCCCCACCAAATTATTAACACCCCCTTTACAGCAGGAGGAGAGTGTAGCCCCACCAAATTATTAACACCCCCTTTACAGCAGGAGGAGGGAGTGTAGCCCCACCAAATTATTAACACCCCCTTTACAGCAGGAGGAGGGAGTGTAGCCCCACCAAATTATTAACACCCCCTTTACAGCAGGAGGAGGAGTGTAGCCCCACCAAATTATTAACACCCCCTTTACAGCAGGAGGAGGGAGTGTAGCCCCACCAAATTATTAACACCCCCTTTCCTTTACAGCAGGAGGAGGGAGTGTAGCCCCACCAAATTATTAACACCCCATTTACAGCAGGAGGAGGGAGTGTAGCCCCACCAAAATATTAACACCCCATTTACAGCAGGAGGGAGTGTAGCCCCACCAAATTATTAACACCCTCTTTAAAGCAGGAGGGAGTGTAGCCCCACCAAATTATTAACACCCCCTTTACAGCAGGAGGAGGGAGTGTAGCCCCACCTGTACCTTTAAGCCCACCACCCCCACTTCCCGTTGCAGAACCTGAGGTAGAGGAGGAGAAACCTGAGAAGAAACCTCGACTTTCTTTAGTGGGGAGACTCAAAAGGAAACTCAGCATTGGAAGAGGTTAGTTTAAGACGAAACGATTTGACTAAAATACCTAAAATACCTAACTTCAAGTGGGTAATATAAACCCTCTTGACCAATATAGTTTTTACTAAAAGTTTCTTTTTTCAACAGGAGATAAAGCTGCCAAAGTAGAGAAGAGGAAAGAGCTTTCTAAATCAACCCCAGTACTAAACCAGGGACCACCACCAGCAAGTGCTCTTCCGCTGCATATAAAAAGGTACGTCTGATAATAGTTTTGAATTAATTACAACACTAAAAATCTATTACATTTATTAAGAATCATGTAATGTAACGTGATGGAAATATTTTAAACGGGGATATCCTGTCCAAACCCAGGATGCACTACATGACGAATTCGTTGTAACTTTGTTTGAAAAGCATTAATAACTTGATTATTTAAACGTTAAATTATAACTGTTTGTTTAGGTAAAAACTAAATCAGATTTTGCTGGGTTTTGCAAACACAAAAATCATAAATGACACCTCCTTGTATAAGAGAAACGGAATGATTACATTCGTTAAATGTTTGTAATTTTAAACTGATTCATCTCCTCAGAGCTAAGTCGACAGAGAATATGTCCACCACATCCAGTGTTACTACAACAACAGATGTCCGGACCCAAATAGTCCTCAAATCTGCCAAGGTAAGTGTTGAGGAGTCAGCCTGGAATTATAATCGTTCTAATCATGATTTTGGTTTTTAAAAACTCCATTCCATCACAAGGAAAATATCTATGATCATTATATTACTATGGTAACGCTACCATATAAGGTAATGTTACTATATTAAGCACGCTTTAGAGATTCAATCAGTGGATTGTCACCGTTCGCTCTGTTTTGTTAACTTGAATAGTATAAACCACTTCTAAAACCGTTTCCTCGCAGATCAACAAGGGATGCAGATGTCAGGTGTGTTCCTTAGTTAGAAGGAACATAAGATCTCACTGCAACTCAGCAGATCCTAACTCACGACATAAATACGAGGTTAGAGAACGTGTGCGATTAGAAAGTATATATACCATGATAATAGTTTATTGAAAAATAAAAAGCAGTAAGCAAGAAACCTTATGTTTTTATATTTTATTGTTATCTACGTAATTAAAACAAAAGTGTTCCGCCTGATAATTATTCATAACTATTAACCAGTATATTTAGTATGTAGTATAAGTATATACTATATACGATTAATTAATATTCACTTCTTAATTAATCAATTGTTGCCTCTTCTCCAGGTGGTACTGAAGATGAACATTCTGGGAGGGGACTTCATGAACTCCGAGTGTGGTAGCGTAGCTTCCTACCAAGGTAACCAAGGTTACGAGGTGCCTGATGAAGAGCGGCCGGATATTGTAGAGGGTTGCATCGCGGGTAATATAGACGCGGAAATCAGTTCAATCCACTCTGTTGACAACCAATTGAGAACAAAAACTCAAAGTGAGATACATGAGTTAGTGGCAGACTTTCAACAAGAAACCAAGAGTGTTTCATCTCACCACTCACATCAGAGTGATACAGATAACGATATGTCAGAGTTAAGGAACCTAATCAGTACTCCCTTGTCCGAGTTAAGGAGCTCCCCTTCTCTTACTCCTAGGCAGTCTGCTGTTTAGATTAACCTAATCAGTGCTCACAATTGTTAACGATAGTGACTTTCAGTCTTTTCGTGCTCAGAGTTGGGATGTTGTAGTCAGTTTGTCAGCCTATCTAGACTGTCTTTCGAGTTCATTTGGAGGAGCAAGGCCTTCATCGGGACGGGTGATGATCGATTTGGATATTCTCAACGATTCATCAAATAAGGAAAGAATGAAGGGTTGTATAAAACAACTACAAGTATTGTCAGTACCATATATGGTAGTGTTACCATTGCAATATCAGATATTATGTGATCAAAATATGTGATCAAATTAAGGATGTTGAAGCAGTCACAAGCCACTCAATTTATAATGAATAGCTAACAAGAATAATTAGACTTGGCAAACTGTAAAACGGAGGAGGAATTCAGGCTAATTTCATAATTCATTATTTTAATTATCCGGGCATGGGCTTCTCATAGCCGTAAAAAACTTCCACCAAACGATTTTTGTAGTTATGGACACGTTAAACCAAAGTTAAAATCTAGCTGCAACTATAGATGTTGACACCTGTTCGGCAAAGTAAACGAAGATATGTGTTTTGACATTCATGACATATCATTTTAAGGCAGGATATATGGATGCCTATGTAATGTTTCACTATTATTACAGATTTCATTATTTAATTCGTGTTTTTCTTTTCCGTTGATAAGTTCACTAATTGGCAGCACTGGGCGCTCAGTCTGTTATTATTATTATAGCCTGGGGTCCCCAGGTAAGAAAATCCGAGATCATGGCCCCTTATTTCAATTCACAATTTGAAATCATGAGCGATTCAATTTTAAGCGTGAAAAAATAAGCACCGAAATAATATTTCTTAAATAAATCGTATCAACAAGAATGATAAAAATATTCATACGATATGCATGGTATTAGTATTACTATTAGTTATAGCTCTTGAATATATAAATGAACTACAAAAATAAAAAGATATCAACATAACAAATATAGCATTAGAAAACTGTCAGTATATATGTTTTAGTTCTAAAAATGTCGTCATTAATTTAATATCAACGTTGCTAGATTAAAGCATGTGTGTATAAACATAGCGGTGTAATGTACTAATTATTAACCACATTAAAAGTTTGTACAGTTAGTATAAAATGTAAACCACTTGTTCTTCATGTGCGTTCACCTGTTCAATAAATTATACGTTTAACCTTAACCCCGGTGTAAACAACATTCGAACGTTACGTGTGATTTGTAACGCGTGATTTTTAACCTACAAACTTATCAGAACTATAAATCTGCTCATGGATAATGGATATAAACCGAACTCCGGAGTCAAAACATAAAGAACTATGAACAATTTGTGAAAAAATAAACATCAGTCTTTATAAATTTATAAACCCTAAATTTAACCTATTGGTACAAATCATCAGTTTGTTTATTCATTATTAAAATGTGAAAAAGTAAATTCCTAATGGTTAAGCTATTCTCAATCCTTCGATAAAAAACATATAGGTCTGTCCACCCCGGCGCACCTCAATTATCTGACAGATGATGTGTACGTATTGTGTAACGCGTGATGTGTAACGCGTAACACCTGTTTAAACGGTTGATGAACAGACTTATATTAAGTCGAGGGTCCTTTTGTTTTCTTGTGCCTCTCATTTCTCAAGCAGTTGTGTTATGTATTAACTTCCGAACACCAGATTTTCTGAAAATCACAGAATATTGTTAAAACGAAAATCAACAAGAAAGTAATACGCTTATGAAAAAAAAATAGAAGAAAAACAAAATTATAACACGATTTATACGATTACGTATAACAGTTAACACGTGATTTATAACGCGTGATAAGTAACGCGTGATAAGTAACGCGTGATAAGTAACACGTGATTTTGAACGCATTATTTGTTATCATTTATAAATGGTGATTTATGACGCGTGATAAGTAACGCGTGATTTGTAACACGTACCTGGGGATACACAAGAGTATTTGCAGTCAGCAAGACAGCACTTTCCTCTGACGTCTCCACAATCGTAGTCAGATTCACAGGAATGTGAGGGGGTAGAATCACACTTGGAGTAGTCTGTAGAAGCCGGGCACTTGGTGTTTCCTGGGAGTTTTTAACTTTAACTATCTCTTAAATCATCAATTAGTAGTTTAATTGATAGGGTGTAACACGAGGGGTTAAGATGCGTGAGATTTTGTCAATAATTGAATTCAATTTTAAATGCGAAATGTTGCACGTCATTTGTCAGTTGATAGGTCAATCACATTACTGTACTATATTTTAATCTTGGATGTATAGATTATTATATTTAAATTAACACTTAAATACGTTACAAGTTTCAAACCATCAAGAGACATGTAAATGTTGTAAACAGTCTTAGAGTCGGACTTCCTAGGCTTCATTCTCCGCTCTATCATCCTGAACGCAAGATTAATAAGTTAATTATTTAATAAGTTAATTAGTTAATAAGTTAATTAGTTAATTAGAGTAAGGATTAAAATATGCTTGTAATAATAAGCTAAAAATACGTTTCTTGTTCTTATCCGTCTAATTTGTAATATTTTCAATCGAACATCTTTTAAAGTACAGAGAAAGTAAAGAGAAAGTAAAGAGAAAGTAAAGTAAAGAGAAAGTAAAAAGAAAGTAAAGAGAAAGTAAAAAGAAAGTAAAGAGAAAGTAAAGAGAAAGTAAAGAGAAAGTAAAGAGAAAGTAAAGAGAAAGTAAAGAGAAAGTAAAGAGAAAGTAAAGAGAAGGTATAGAAAAAGTAGAGAGAAAGTAAAGAGAAAGTAAATAGAAAGTATAAAAGAGCAAGTTAAGAGAAAGTAAGAGAAAGTAAAGAGAAAGTAAAGAGAAAGTAAAGAGAAAGTAAAGAGAAAGTAAAGAGAAATTAAAGAGAAAGTAAAGAGAAATTAAAGAGAAAGTAAATAGAAAGTAAAGAGAAAGTAAATAGAAAGTAAAGAGAAAGTAAATAGAAACTAAAGAAAAGATAAAGAGAAAGTGAAACTAGAAGTAACTTACTTGTAAACAGGTCTGTTCTCAAAAACAAGATCATTCTGACACATCTCTTTTAGCTGGGCAGTTATGTGACCCTCTTCGTCTGTTGTACCAACCTTTACTTTTGTGTTGTCCTCCGACACAAACACGTCTGCAATTGGTGTTATTTTTACTTATAATTACTTTTATTTTCACTTAAAAATAGTTTTATTTTTACTTAAAATAAGTGCTGTTTTTACTTAAAATTAGTGTTACTTTTACTTATACCTATATGACTAGTGTTATTTTCATTTACAACTAGCATCGTCTTTACTTATATTTTTAATAAATATAAAGTCAAAAAAGTCTCAATTCCCGATTCAAATATTTCTAATTGGTTCTACTTTTGCGAAAAAGATATTCACTTCAAATTACAAAAATCCCAAATATTTATAAGGGTATAAATTTTTTAAGAGAGGCATAAGGGTATAAGTTGTTCCTAAAGCAATTCAAATAAAATAGTTACCAAATCAAGCTAATAAGAATAAATTATTAACCAAGTAATGTGACATACCTGTGTGAGAGAGAGGGTTCTGGCTGTAGTCCGTTACTTTAAACGAGTATTCTTTAACAACACAAGTACAAATCTCACATTGGGAGTCCGGGATCATTCCCTTTTCACACCTTAGATTGCACGAGGCATCACCTGATAAGTATTAAGCGTGTTAGATATTAATCACACTTTATACGAACTAAAATAAGTGCTAATATTTATCTACAACTACTAAGTTACCTAAAAATACACTGAAATAAGTAGTGTTTATATACAACTAAGTAACTTATTTACAAGCTTAATATCTACAATGTCTTTATACTCACGTGCACCAGTGGACGAGGGATTTGGTGTACTGTAAGTGTAAGTAAGAGATTCTCTTTCTGTTAAATCACGTGCTGTTATCTTCTCTGTGATTGGTTCTTCTGGTTTTGGTGTTGTCACAAGCTTTCTACTCACTGGCAGATATGGACGGGTTGTTAGAGTATACTGAATGAAAGTGTAAGTGAAGCAATAACGTTAGGAAAGTGAAGCAATGACTTTAGAAAGGTGAAGTAATCCATTTAGAGGAAGTGAAATAGAAAGAGAAACAATACCTTTAGGACAGAGGTTACAGGAGAGATGACAGTTGTAAATGAGGTACTGGTTAGAACAGTACCCGCGCTCTGCCCACGCTGAACAATACGCGTTCTGATCCTTACACTCCGGTTCCAAACTTCCACCTGATGTATCTTTACGTGAGGTTACGTGCACAATTGTTAGGTTTACTTGAGGTTACGTGCACAATTGTTAGGTTTACGTGAGGTTACGTGCACAATTGTTAGGTTTACGTGAGGTTACGTGCACAGTTGTTAGGTTTAGGTGGGGCTACGTGCACAATTGTTAGGTTTACTTGAGGTTACGTGCACAATTGTTAGGTTTACGTTAGGTTACGTGCACAATTGTCAGGTTTACTTGAGGTTACGTGCACAGTTGTTAGGTTTAGGTGGGGCTACGTGCACAATTGTCAGGTTTACGTGAGGTTACGTGCACAATTGTTAGGTTTAGGTGAGGCTACGTGCACAATTATTAGGTTTATGTGGGGCTACGTGCACAATTGTTAGGTTTACTCCATTTTTCGTGTACAATTGTAAGGTTTACGTGGCTTGCAGGTACTTTTCACCAGTGCGAAATGAGAATGCTACATGTCATTACTCTTTCCCCTTAAAACAAACTAATGTAAAAAAAACTGTATAGGTTAACCAGTCGGAGCAGTATATATATTATTACCTTATATGGTAGTATTACCATAGCAACACTACCATAAAAGACAATGTTAAATGTTTACCTGTCGGAGCAGTAGAGACATAATCTGTGATCTCTCCAGTTGTAGCTGGGACTATAGTTGTTGTAGTTACACGCCCCGTTACTACAGTGATATCTTTTGTAGGAAGAACTGTTGTGCTATCATCTTCTGTTGGCTGAGGAGTGGTGGCGTCCGCTGTGCTGGCATCCTCTGTTGGCCGAGGCGTGGTGGCATCCTCTGTGCTAACATCCTCTGTTGTTCGAGGTGTGGTGGCATCTTCTGTGCTCACATCCTCTGTTTCTCGAGGAGTGGTGGAATCTTCTGTGCTAACATCCTCTGTTGCTCGAGGAGTGGTGGTATCTTCTGTGCTAACATCCTCTGTTGCTCGATGTGTGGTGGCATCTTCTGTGCTAACATCCTCTGTTGGCCTAGGAGTTGTGGCATCTTCTGTGCTAACATCCTCTGTTGGCCTAGGAGTAGTGGCATCTTCTGTGGTAACATCCTCTGTTGGGCTAGGAGTGGTGGCATCTTCTGTGGTAACATCCTCTGTTGCTCGAGGTGTAGCGGCATCTTCTGTGGTAACATCCTCTGTTGGCCTATGAGTGGTGGCATCTTCTGTGGTAACATCCTCTGTTGACCTAGGAGTGGTGCCATCTTCTGTGGTGACATCCTCTGTTGGCCTAGGAGTGGTGGCATCTTCTGTGGTAACATCCTCTGTTGGCCTAGGAGTGGTGGCATCTTCTGTGGTAACATCCTCTGTTGGCCTAGGAGTGGTGGCATCTTCTGTGGTAACATCCTCTGTTGCTCGAGGAGTGGTGGCATCTTCTGTGGTAACATCCTTTGTTGGCCTAGGAGTGGTGGCATCTTCTGTGCTAACATCCTCAGTTGGCCTAGGAGTGCTAACATCCTCTGTTGGCCTAGGAGTGCTAACATCCTCTGTTGCTCGAGGTGTGGTGGCATCTTCTGTGCTCACATCCTCTGTTCCTCGAGGAGTGGTGGAATCTTCTGTGGTAACATCTTCTGTCGGCCTAGGAGTAGTGGCATCTTCTGTGGTAATATCCTCTGTTGGCCTAGGAGTGGTGGCATCTTCTGTGGTAACATCCTCTGTTGCTCGAGGTGTGGTGGCATCTTCTGTGGTAACATCCTCTGTTGGCCTAGGAGTAGTGGCATCTTCTGTGGTAACATCCTCTGTTGGCCTAGGAGTGGTGGCATCATTTGTGGTAACATCCTCTGTTGCTCGAGGTGTAGTGACATCTTCTGTGGTAACATCCTCTGTTGGCCTAGGAGTTGTGGCATCTTCTGTGCTAATATCCTCTGTTGGCCTAGGAGTGGTGGCATCTTCTGTGGTAACATCCTCTGTTGACCTAGGAGTGGTGGCATCTCCTGTGGTAACATCCTCTGTTGGCCTAGGTGTGGTGGCATCTTCTGTGGTAATATCCTCTGTTGGCCTAGGAGTGGTGGCATCTTCTGTGGTAACATCCTCTGTTGCTCGAGGTGTGGTGGCATCTTTTGTGGTAACATTCTCTGTTGGCCTAGGAGTGGTGGCATCTTCTGTGGTGACATCCTCTGTTGGCCTAGGAGTGGTGGCATCTTCTGTGGTGACATCCTCTGTTGGCCTAGGAGTGGTGGCATCTTCTGTGCTAACATCCTCTGTTGGCCTAGGAGTGGTGGCATCCTCTGTGCTCACATCCTCTGTTGCTCGAGGAGTGGTGGCATCTTCTGTGCTAACATCCTTTGTTGGCCTAGGAGTGGTGGCATCTTCTGTGCTAACATCTTCTGTTGGCCTAGGAGTGCTAACATCCTCTGTTGGCCTAGGAGTGCTCACATCCTCTGTTGGCCTAGAAGTGCTAACATCCTCTGTTGCTCGAGATGTGATGGCATCTTCTGTGCTCACATCCTCTGTTGCTCGTGGAGTGGTGGCATCTTCTGTGCTAATATCCTCTGTTGGCCTAGGAGTGGTGGCATATTCTGTGCTAACATCCTCTGTTGGCCTAGGAGTGCTAACATCCTCTGTTGCTCGAGGTGTGGTGGCATCTTCTGTGCTCACATCCTCTGTTGCTCGAGGAGTGGTGGCATCTTCTGTGCTAACATCCTCTGTTGGCCTAGGAGTGGTGGCATCCTCTGTGCTAACATCTTCTGTTGCTCGAGGAGTTGTGGCATCTTCTGTGCTAACATCCTCTGTTGGCCTAGGAGTGGTGGCATCCTCTGTGCTAACATCCTCTGCTGCTCGAGGTGTGGTGGCATCTTTTGTGGTAACATCCTCTGTTGGCCTAGGAGTGGTGGCATCTTCTGTGGTAACATCCTCTGTTGGCCTAGGAGTGGTGGCATCTTCTGTGCTAACATCCTCTGTTGGCCTAGGAGTTGTGGCATCTTCTGTGCTAACATCCTCTGTTGGCCTAGGAGTGGTGGCATCGTCTGTGCTCACATCCTCTGTTGCTCGAGGAGTGGTGGCATCTTCTGTGCTAACATCCTTTGTTGGCCTAGGAGTGGTGGCATCTTCTGTGCTAGCATCTTCTGTTGGCCTAGGAGTGCTAACATCCTCTGTTGGCCTAGGAGTGCTCACATCCTCTGTTGGCCTAGGAGTGCTAACATCCTCTGTTGCTCGAGATGTGATGGCATCTTCTGTGCTCACATCCTCTGTTGCTCGAGGAGTGGTGGCATCCTCTGTGCTTACATCCTCTGTTGCTCGAGGTGTGGTGGCATCTTCTGTGCTTACATCCTTTGTTGGGCTAGGAGTGGATGGGATAATAGTTCGGGGATATAGTGTTTCCCCATGTGATGAAGATTCTTCAGTAGACAACGTTATCCCTTGTGTTGACCATAGTTCAGTCGGAATGTATCGAGTAGATCGACCAGTTGAGGAGGGTACTGAAACTGGTGCAGTAACAGTAACACGTTCAGTTACTTTTTGTTCCTCTAAGTTGTCAAGAGACACACTCGCGGGACTGGAGAGCATTTTGTTCTTTTCTGTGCTTGGGAATTGTGGTGTTACCGATGTGGTTTTAATGACACTAGTGCCCCGTCGTTCTGTACTTACATCCTCTATTGATCGAAAAGTGGTGGTATCTCTTGTGATAACATCCTCTGTTTGCCGAGAAGTGGTGGTATCTTTTGTGCTAACATCCTCTGTTGCTCGAGGTGTGGTGGCATCTTCTGTGCTAACATCCTCTGTTGGCCTAGGAGTGGTGGCATCCTCTGTGCTAACATCCTCTGTTGCTCGAGGTGTGGTTGCATCTTCTGTGCTCACATCCTCTGTTGCTCGAGGAGTGGTGGAATCTTTTGTGCTAACATCCTCTGTTGGCCTAGGAGTGGTGGCAACTTCTGTGCTAACATCCTCTGCAGGCCTAGGAGTGCTAACATCCTCTGTTGCTCGAGGTGTGGTTGCATCTTCTGTGCTCACATCCTCTGTTGCTCGAGGAGTGGTGGAATCTTTTGTGCTAACATCCTCTGTTGGCCTAGGAGTGGTGGCAACTTCTGTGCTAACATCCTCTGCTGGCCTAGGAGTGCTAACATCCTCTGTTGGCCTAGGAGTGCTAACATCCTCTGTTGCTCGAGGTGTGGTGGCATCTTCTGTGCTCACATCCTCTGTTGCTCGAGGAGTGGTAGCATCTTCTGTTGTAACATCCTCTGTTGGCATAGGAGTGGTGGCATCTTCCGTGGTAACATCCTCTGTTGGCCTAGGAGTAGTGGCATCCTCTGTGCTAACATCCTCTGTTGCTAGAGGTGTGGTGGCATCTTCTGTGCTGACATCATCTGTTGCTCGAGGAGTGCTGGCATCGTCTGTGCTAACATCCTCTGTTTGCCGAGGAGTGGTGACATCTCTTGTGCTAACATCCTCTGTTGATCGAGGTGTGGTGGCATCTTCTGTGCTAACATCGTCTGTTGGCCTAGGAGTGGTGGCATCTTCTGTGCTAACATCGTCTGTTGACCTAGGAGTGGTGGCATCTCTTGTGCTAACATCCTCTGTTGCTCGAGGTGTGGTGGCATCTTTTGTGCTAACATCATCTGTTGCTCGAGGAGTGCTGGCATCGTCTGTGCTAACATCCTCTGTTTGCCGAGGAGTGGTGACATCTCTTGTGCTAACATCCTCTGTTGATCGAGGTGTGGTGGCATCTTCTGTGCTAACATCGTCTGTTGGCCTAGGAGTGGTGGCATCTTCTGTGCTAACATCGTCTGTTGGCCTAGGAGTGGTGGCATCTTCTGTGCTAACATCCTCTGTTGATCGGGGAATGGTGGCATCTGTTGTGCTAACATCCTCTGTTGATCGAGGAGTGGTGGAATCTTCTGTGCTAACATCTTCTGTTGCTCGAGGTGTGGTGGCATCTTCTGTGCTAACATCCTCTGTTGCTCGAGGAGTTGTGGCATCTTCTGTGCTAACATCCTCTGTTGGCCTAGGAGTGGTGGTATCTTTTGTGCTAACATCTTCTGTTGACCTAGGAGTGGTGGCATCTCTTGTGCTAACATCCCCTGTTGCTCGAGGTGTAGTGGCATCTTCTGTGTTAACATCCCCTGTTGCTCGAGGTGTAGTGGAATCTTCTGTGCTAACATCCTCTGTTGCTCGAGGTGTGGTGGCATCTTCTGTGCTAACATCCTCTGTTGCTCGAGGAGTTGTGGCATCTTCTGTGCTAATATCTTCTGATGGCCGAGGAGTGGTGACATCTCTTGTACTAATATCTTCTGTTGATCTAGGAGTGATGGCATCTCTTGTGCTAATATCTTCTGTTAGCCAAGGAGAAGTGTCATATTCTCTACTAACATCCTCTGTTGCTCGAGGAGTGGTGGCATCTGTTGTGCCAATATCCTCTGTTGATTGAGGAGTGGTGGCATCTGTTGTGCTAACATCCGCTGTTGCTCGAGGAGAAGCAGGGGTGTCATCAGGAGTTTCAGAAGCAGGAGGTAAGGTGACGACGCCGGATCCGTCACACCCACAAAGTTCAGTTGTGCTGCCAGTTCCTGGATCTGATTTATCTGAAACAAAATGCTTCACTTACTTTCAAACCCAAACACTCTTTAACGTATACAAGGTACAAAATTTAAAAACCAAATATACAAATGATAATGTTACTTACCAGAGGTTATCGTTTCATACACTATCTCTGAAAATAATTTGTAGTTATTAACTACCATTAATTGTGGAGCTAACTTATTTATATAACAATTAATTAATAAGTTTAGTTATTAGTTAATTAGTTAATTAGTAGTTGCAGGTAGATAACATACCTTCAGTTGTAAGAGTTGGGTTTTCTCCAATCACACTCTTAACCGGCACAGTAGTGCTGGGAGGACTAGTTACTTCATCCTCTTCTGTTGTTTCTTCTGTTGTTTCTTCTGTTGTTTCTTCTGTTGTTTCTTCTGTTGTTTCTTCTGTTGTTTCTTCTGTTGTTTCTTCTGTTGTTTCTTCTGTTGTTTCTTCTGTTGTTTCTTCTGTTGTTTCTTCTGTTGTTTCTTCTGTTGTTTCTTCTGTTGTTTCTAGGATGAAGGAAGTGTTATTTGATATATTAATCGAGATTAAATATTTTCTGGGATCATTAGTTTGAAGTATGACAGGTTACCACTGGTTACCACTGGTTACCACTGGTTACCACTGGTTACCACTCGTAACATAATACTGATTATGTTTATCGCAGAAAAATGAAACATATAAAACGTAGTCATGTTGTGCTTCACCCAAATATAAAAGACAACCACTTTTCAAAGTTAAAATAATTAACAGCGACAGCCATGCAGGCTGGGTGACACAGTCTTTACATCACGAATGGACACAATTATCGGTTATAATTCAAACGACTGTAATATGCACGCAATATGCACGTAATGCACGTAAACTGCGTGCGTATTCTGACGGCATCAACCGCGTAAATTACAACCGACCCGGATTTTGATTGTTGATTATTTGAACAAGTTGACGGTGACACTGGTAGAGCTACTTTTCCAACAATAAAACCATGCGGTAGTGGTGAGTATTTTACAATCTGAGTAATTTCACATTTTAGAGACAACACGTGGAGAACCAGCATGTAGTCATGCGAAATACCTTTTGTTACACGGGTAACCATGGTGAGGAGTGTGTTGGACAAGTGTGTTAAATGCTCCTTTGTGGATCTATCAGAAATGGGATCTCTGGAAACCACGGAGACAGACGAAAAGTCTTCTGGGGTGCCCTGTTTAGTTGTTTCACGCTCGTTCAGGATTGGGAACTGAGAGGACTGAACAAGAGGAAGAGTGAAGACTCAGTAATGTGGGGTACACCGTCTTCTTTGTCAGTAACCCCTTCCTCTTCTTTGAGAGACTCAGTTGATGTAATGCTAAACGGCAACTTGTTTGTAGTAGCTTCAGTAGAGTTGAAGAGAGTTTTGTCGGTAATAATGGAATTAGTCCCTCCCGGGCTTGTTTGGTGTGATAGATTCACTTTTGTTGATAGACTCTCATTTAACAACTCACTTTCACTTTCACTTTCACTTTCACTTTCACTTTCACTTTCACTTTCACTTTCATTCCTATCTTCTGTCTCACTTGGAGCGTCCGTCTTTGTATTTGCATCATTTATAGATGAGGTGATTGTGTAAATATGATAAGTGACACTAGCACCATCATATGTGACACTATCACCATCGTATGTCGCACTATCACCATTATTTGTGACACTATCATCATTTAGTCGCCTAGTTGGTACATCTTCATTTGGGCGTTCAGTTGACACATCTTCAGTTTGTAGCCCAGTACTTAGATCTTCAGTTTGTCGCCCCGTTGATATATTTTCATTTGGTCGCCCAGTTCTTAGATCTTCAGTTTGTCGCCCAGTTCTTAGATCTTCAGTTTGTCGCCCCATTGAAATATTTTCATTTGGTCGCCCAGTTGTTACATCTCCATTTGGGTGTTCAGTTCTTAGATCTTCAGTTTGTCGCCCAGTTCTTAAATCTTCAGTTTGTCGCCCCTTTGATATATTTTCATTTGGTCGCCCAGTTGTTACATCTCCATTTGGGTGTTCAGTTCTTAGATCTTCAGTTTGTCGCCCAGTTCTTAAATCTTCAGTTTGTCGCCCCTTTGATATATTTTCATTTGGTCGACCAGTTGAAATACTTTCCGTAGAAACAGAAGCAGTTTTTAAGAGCAATTCTCGGTCCCTTGTTGGGCTCTCTGTCAATACATCTTCAGTTGGTCGCTCTGACGAGAGAACTGTAAAGTTTATAATCATGGAACGATCAGTAGACACATCTCCAGTTTGTCGCCCAGTGTGATACTCTTCTGCAGAGTCTTCTAAAAGTTTATCAGATGGCAATTTGCCTTCGATAGGCTTCTCAGTTTCATGATTAAAGAGAATTGTATCTGTGATGATAGAACTTGATCCCTCCGCATCAGTGATAGACCTTGCTCCCTCTGCATCAGTGATAGGACTTGACCCTTCAGAATCAGTAATAGACCTTGATCCCTCTGCATCAGTGATAGACCTTGACCCCTCTGCATCAGTGATAGAACTTGACCCTTCAGAATCAGTGATAGACCTTGTTGCCTCAGATTGCTCAGACTGTTTAGTAGTAGTTGATGTATTCTCTGTAAGAGCCTTTGATGATGAAGTCTCAGTTGCAAACTCTGAGGGAACGTTTTCAGTTAACAGGCTTGTTGAAAAGTCGGCTGATGATGCTGCCTTAGCATACGAATCTGTTCCTTTTTCAGTTAAAATGCTTTCTGTTGGGACTACAGTTTCGGTATGTCCAGAAATCTCTTTACTGAAATCTTTATAGGTTGTTCCTTGTGTTGGTGTACTGTCAGCCACGTGATGCCCATATAAGGAGATGTTCCCACCTGTACGGGAAGATAGGTTGACAAAGCTGCTACCTGTTCTAGAACCCTCTCCAGATGTTACACCCGGTGGTGGTTCGTATTTAGTGTTAATCTTATCAGTTTGAAGCTCACTAGGAGCTTTATTTTCATAACTAACTCCCTCCTCTTCCTCCTCCTCCTCGTACTCACCCTGACTTGTGGTGAAGGTGTAGTAACCTTGCTCACTGGTTACATCTCCACCCTCCACATCATTAATAACTGAGCTGGCTATATCCCAGCTGGAGTCGCCGTTGGAGGTTGGTTCGGGTGAGCCTAGATCCAGTTGGGAGGCGAACGCGGTTGACTCTTTTTCTGTTATGCTCGCGGTAGTTGAGCTTTCTGCGTTAACAACATCAGCTGCAACACATGTAAATAACACATTAAAACCCATTTTATAAATACACATTGAGAAACACAAAAAAAACCCTGATAAGAAATCTATTTCCATAAATTAAAGGGGCATTTTTACAAAATTCACAAAACCCCTTCAACAAGGGATTCTTACCTTCCTTGTGACAGTTGTTACATAATTTCTGACACTTTGAGTCAGAGACAGCTCTGTCTTTACACCAGCTGATGAACTTGGCGAAGTAGCGCTCAGCAAACCAAACACAGTTATCATTACCCCACTTATTTTCACAATCTGAGGTTAATTTATAATTAATTAATAACTTAATTTATAACTATTTAGATTAGAGTTTTGTCGGTAATAATGATGTGGCTCATATTATAAAATATTCAAGTTGAGATGGTATGCCCCCGTTTAATATTAAAATGAAATTTACATAGATTTTCAAAAGTTTTCACTTTAGCTTCAAAATCCAACACGGTACGTCATCACACAAGACGTGACGTCATCACACAACACATGACGTCATCACTCAACACGTGGCATCTTCACACAAAAGGTGACGTCACAGAAAGACACGCACACCAACTTACGCACAATGTGCCGATACCCGATGGTTGTAGCCTGGTATCTGACAACAGGAACTGTGGTGGTGACTACCCCGAATGTCTTGTCTACAGTGAGAGGTTCAGTGGATAGCGTGATGCCTAATGTTATGATTAATTCTTCTGGTACCTCTTTTTCATTATCTGATTTTGTGACGACATCATCTGTTTTAGTGACGTCATCATCTGTTTTAGTGATGTCATCATCTGTTTTAGTGACGTCATCTTTGCTGTAGTTGTCAATGTCTCCAACTGGAAGTGTGTTTGGTACCTCTTCAATCGGTACGGTTGTCAAAACCTCTTTATCTGGTGTTCATATATCATCATCACAATACGAGGTACTTTTAAACTTGTAATGTGACGTCATCACACAACATGTGACGTCATCATGTGAGGTCCCGGAGGTATTTGTAAACTTGTGATAACAAGTTTCACAAGGTGTATAAAATAGCAAGATACAGGAAAAAGCCAACACACACACACACACACACACACACACACACACACTAACTTACTGGTTTTTCTCCAAAACACGAAAGTGTCAGTTTGTTTTAAAACAGACCCAACACCTACATCAAGAGATAGTTTAATTGAAATAGTCCTTCACTTTTCATTTTACAATATTTATTCTAATTATTTTTACAAATTTCTTAGATTTAAAAAATTGTCAATAAAGAAAGTTGAAATGAAATGAAAAGTAAGTTGAGTTTAGTTTAGAATAAATCTTCAGCCGTATTAAACGAGCGTGCCTTCCGTTTTAATTAAAGTAGTGAGACATAAAAAGACTCGAATCGTTTTTATAAACTGAACTTGGTCTGATCAATAATTTTGTTAACTCACTTTCAGAAATTGAGGTTTCAGTTGGAACAGCCTCCGTAGAAATCACAGACTCTTCTGAAAATTCATCTGTTACCTTTATGAAGGAGCACTAGCAACTGTTGCTCTGTACAGCGCATCCTTTAACGATACCTTCATTGCCTTATCGACTTTCCGAGAAAGCAACATGTGTAATTAATAAAACTCTATTGATGTCTGAGGGAACTAACCCGGAACCTTGAAGAACTTGTAGAAATAGTTGACGACCAATATAGTATCTCCTAGTTTCCCAGAGGACACCATATCCTGAAGCACCTGTTCTAGAGAATCTGCTGACTCTCCCGGGATCACTACCAGCTGGAACTGTACTATCAGCCCTTCTTCACTGCCATTATAATTAGAGTTAATTAATTAAGCAATTAATTATTATTAGTGAACTTCACCCACTTGTTATTATTTGTTTGTTTGTTTGATTTATTTCTAATCATTCTATGAAGTTAGTTTTCTGTAATAATTACTCTTGGCATTTATTCTATCCCGATTGCTAATCATTAATTGATATGTATTATTTGGTTCGGACAGTTTGTTTTCGTGCCACATTGGGCTATTTACCTTGTATCCTTTGTATCCTTTGTATCCTTCGGATCAAGGAAGTAAACATCTCTCACTTTAACCATGTAACCTTGGTAAAGCTTGTGTAGCTGCTTCATGTAGAGTTGATGTAGGGCCTACAAAGAGTGTTTAAATTAATATGTTCAAATATCTGTACTAGTAGTAGTAGCTGGAAATTAAGGAATATAAATAATGACGCAAAGGTAAAGATAGTTAATCAAGAAACTCTTAGAAAAGTTTTAACTTGTTTGTCTGCTTTATAAATAATAGATGTAACAATAAGTATTACCTGGTACTCCAGATTGTAAGGAGAATCTAGATCCTCGCTGTACTCCATGTTGGACACCTGACGAATTTAAAAGTTATTTTATATAAATACTAGAAAACCCGTGGTCATAGGGAGGAAGCTAATAGTATTTTTTGTTAGTAAGTTTAAATCGCGTCAAAAAATATCCGTCACAACCAAAGATATAGCCGATTAAAATGTTGCTCGTACTAAACACAGCGTAATATCAACAAAACCGATCAAAATGACGTTAAAACAATCATTGCACGTGCACGTGCGTGTAACAATTCTCGTTACTATGGTTACTTTGCAACCTTTTTCTTTTTTACCTAATTTGCACGTGGGCGGTCGTACAGACAGACAGAAAGAACTCTCTGAATTATAAGTAAGATTCACAGTAAAATTCTCATTAATATCCTCGCGTGACTCGAAACATCTCTCACGTGACGTCACACTCCCCCCCCCCCCCCACGTGACGTTACTATCCCCCTCGCGTGTCATATTTTTCTCACCTGGAAGACTCCTCTGTAAAGATTAGCAGGAGAGTTGGGAGCTGTTACGTAGGTTTGTTTCTCTTGTAACGTTACCATGACAGCTGAGTACCCAGGTTGGGGGGCTGATCTGTCTCCGTACATGAAGTAGTCTTCGTAGCTGATGAAGCGAGGTTATAGTGGTACATTATTGCAGGCGACTCTTTGAAACCATATGGCAATTAAAGCTGATTAATGTCTAATAAATGATAATTAATAAGTCACGTACATAGATCACGTGTCGGAAAAAGTAAGTTTCACCTACTTACCCATCTCAAAGCTATTAATGACAATGTTACGATAAACCGCGTTTTAGAGGGGGACTACTGTACAATTATTATAAGTTACCAAAGTAACCACTAGTAACCATTGGTAACCTAGCAATAACCCTACTACCATAGTAACGTACCCGTTTTTGTGAATGATAAGATCACCCTGGTTCTGGCAGAGTCCCACTAACATGACCCAGCCGTCACTGTTACTCTCCCCTATTATACTCTCTCCGTGAGGGGACACGTACACTGTGGCTCCCTGTATCTTATCTGGGTAATTAATTAATTAATTATAGGTTAAGTAATTATAGGTTAATTAAGTAGCCCTTTATATCTTATCTGGGGTAATGATTTTTAGTAGGTTAATTAATCATATTTTTGTGCACTGCTGACAAGAATCGTGTGAATTATAAAATAGGTTATAGAAATTAGAAGGTTTTAAGTTATGAAAGGGTTGAGTGTGGGCAGTTACTTCTGGGCCACCAGCTGTACTAGTTAACTAAAAATTTATCAGGAGTTTTACATTACTGATTACATGGTAACCATGGTAACTAACCCTGTTGTTTGGAGTTTTACATTACTGATTACATGGTATAACCATGGTAACCATGGTAACCATGGTAACCATGGTAACCATGGTAACCATGGTAACCATGGTAACCATGGTAACTAACCCTGTTGTTTGGAGGTGATGTAGATAAAGAGCACGTGATCTCCACAAATGCAGCGCGTACACTCGGAGTCCGGGGTAGCTCCCTCCTCACAGGATATGTCACACAAGTCAGACCTGAAGGTTGTAAGTCTCTTTATAGAGTGGTTACAGTTATTATATTAGTATATTGGTATAACCAATATATATTGGGTATATATACACTATACAATAACAGTTATACTCAGAAATGTGTCAATATAGGTCAAATTCAATACATAGCACATCAACGCAAAGGTCCCCAACATGATATCTTGTACCAGACTATAAACACTATACTATTACTATAAAATAGAATATAGCTCAAAATAATTCAGCTAACCCGGTACCATCAGCGTCTCCGTCAGCGAAGAACACACTAGAATTCTCTGAGGGCGGGCTGGTAGCGTGCACACTCTCACTAACTCGCCCACTACTTGTCTCCTCCGTAGATATCGGGCCAGTTGTGAGGTCTCCGTGCGGGGTAGGGGTGGGGTCGCTATCAGAGTAGTGGAAAGTTACTTCGTTCGCTGACTCGCCCGCTTCTACCACTTCTAGACGCGCTCTACCGTTATTTACTGTTCCGTCGTTAAATGTTACCTGTGAGAGTGCCAGTTGATATTTGGATCCGAGCTCTAAAGAATTTTAACTCTAATTTCCATTTATTTGCCTACATTTCACTTTTTTGCATTGATCTCACATATATTTGAGAGAAGCGACCACAGATCAGCTACAGCTGGTCAAATAAATGCATTGATCCAACTTTCTAGTTTTGTGCAATGCTATTCTTCAAAAGGGATAAATTAATTCATAATTTCCAAATGTACGGCATTTTTAAAGTTTGACAATAATCTCACACTGCTCTTACATTATTTTAGTAAGCATAATTTAATCATTTATTACATAACAAAACTTACAGAAGCCAATAGATGGTAAGTTCCACTGTCTAAATCGTACAAGGTGAGTCTGTAACCTCTCTTATTCGTGATAAACTTGTTTTCAAATATTTGGGATTTAGTTATCGGAACCAAACCTGAAAATACAGATCATGAGCTACAATCTTCAAAGCCTAATTTTGATAATGGTCAGATAATGAAGTTTCAAACCCCTCTCTCACCCCTATAACCACTCTAACCCTCGCACCCCTCTCTCACCCCTCTCTCACCCCTCTTTAACCCCTCTCTCACCCTCTCTCACCCTCTCTAACTCTCTCTAACACCTCTCAAACCCTCTCTAACCCTCTCTAACACCTCTCTAACCCTCTCTAACACCTCTCAAACCCTCTCTAACCCTCTCTCACCCCTCTCTAACACCTCTCAAAGCCTCTCTAACCCTCTCTAACACCTCTCTCAACTCTCTAACCCCTCTCTAACACCTTTCTCAACCCTCTAACTCATCTTTATTCTTTAACTCCTCTCTAACCTGCATCCTCATGGACACTCCACAATATCTGCGAGACACGCTCTTTCGTATCGTCGTAAAGATTACTGAGAAGGAGGCCGAGGATTCTTCCTTTGTTACCTGGGAAACGGAGGATAATAGTTCACACATATTCACATATATTCACACATATTCACACATATTCACACATATTCACATATATTCACACATATTCACACATATTCACACATATTCACACATATTCACACATATTCACACATATTCACACATATTCACACATATTCACACATATTCACATATATTCACATATATTCACACATATTCACACATATTCACACATATTCACACGTCATATTCTAATTACCTGCAGTTGCGGGTAGACAGAAATGTCGTTTCTAGAGATACACCCCAGCTCATCTGACAGATCAAAGCAATCCACGTAACCGTCGCAAACAAACTCGTGACTTATACACCTGGCTGTGGCGTCACCACATCTGACAAATATTACTGGTGAGATATTGATGATGATTAATGATAAAGTACTTCTAGATTACTGGTGAGATACGGGTTCCGGACTCTAGGACGTGAGACTCGAGGGCGGGCCGCCATATGCGATGTGACCTCTGATAATACAAATCAGGAATACGAACTTACCAAACACGCTGGCTAATAAACTAAATGTACCTGAACACGTGGGCTAATAAACTAAATGTACCTGAACGCGTGGGCTATTAAGCTAAATGTACCTGAACGCGTGGGCTAATAAATTAAATGTACTTGAACACGTGGGCTATTAAACTAAAATATGTACCTGAACATATTTTCACCAGGACAGTCTGCATCAGGGCATGGTCGGGTGTTACATATCCTCTCCTCTCGTAACAGAGTGTTATCGTTGCAGAACCGTCCTATACACGCCTTGGTACGCTCCTGCACTCCTGCATTAGTAATATTTTACTAATTATTAGTAATATTTTACTAACTATTAGTAATATTAGTAATATTTTACTAATTATCCGGTAGGTAAAACAAGCTACTAAATTAGAAATCCCCCATATCCCATACCAGAACGAGACTAACCTCCTCCACAGAGCACAGAACACTCTGTCCACCCACTCCAGCCAGCTATGAGGAACTCTGAACTGTGAAACTCCGTTTTACTGGTTGAAACTCCTGGGGTCGAGGTTACCTCTGCCTTCAAGGAGAAATCAAACGTTTTGGTTTCCTTCAAGTCATCTGGGTTTAGAGCGGCTGTGGGGGTTGATGACAGGGAGGATGAAGTGGGGATCCTAAAACCGGGGGTGGTAGGATCCTCTACTTTGTTACCCTCTGTAGTTTCAGCGGCGGTAAGACTTGTTGGATCTTCAGGGGCTGGAGGAGTCGTTGGAACTACAGGGACAGAAGGTGTCGTTGGATCTTCAGGGATAGAAGGTGTTGAAACATCTTCAATAGAAGCTGTGGTTACTTCATCTCCGATTACAAATTCTGATGTTGAAGTATCATCTGCTGGTAGTTTAGTGGTCTTTTCAGTTTCACTGGTAAACTGGGTTTTATCAGTTGAGGGCCTTTCAGTTGAGGGCCTTTCAGTTGAGGGCCTTTCAGTTGAGGGCCTTTCAGTTGAGGGCCTTTCAGTTGACTGCCTTTCAGTTGAGGGCATTTCAGTTGAGAGCCTTTCAGTTGAGGGCATCTCAGTTGACTGCCTTTCAGTTGACTGCTTTTCAGTTGAGGGCTTTTCAGTTAACTGCCTTTCAGTTGAGGGCCTTTCAGTTGACTGCCTTTCAGTTGATTGCCTTTCAGTTGACTGCCTTTCAGTTGACTGCCTTTCAGTTGACTGCCTTTCAGTTGAGAGCCTTTCAGTCGAGAGCCTTTCAGTTGAAGACCTTTCAGTTGACTGCCTTTCAGTTGACTGCCTTTCAGTTGATTGCCTTTCAGTTGAAGGCCTTTCAGTTGACTGCCTTTTAGTTGATTGCCTTTCAGTTGAGGGCCTTTCAGTTGACTGCTTTTCAGTTGAGGGCCTTTCAGTTGAGGGCCTTTCAGTCGACTGCCTTTCGGTTGAGGGCCTTTCAGTTGACTGCTTTTCAGTTGAGAGCCTTTCAGTCGAGAGCCTTTCAGTTGAAGACCTTTCAGTTGACTGCCTTTCAGTTGAGGGCCTTTCAGTCGACTGCCTTTCGGTTGAGGGCCTTTCAGTTGACTGCTTTTCAGTTGAGGGCCTTTCAGTTGACTGCCTTTTAGTTGATTGCCTTTCAGTTGAGGGCCTTTCAGTCGACTGCCTTTCGGTTGAGGGCCTTTCAGTTGACTGCTTTTCAGTTGACTGCCTTTCAGTTGACTGCCTTTCGGTTGAGGGCCTTCCAGTTGACTGCCTTTCGGTTGAGGGCCTTTCAGTTGACTGCTTTTCAGTTGAGAGCCTTTCAGTTGACTGCCTTTCAGTTGATAGCCTCTCAGTTGAGGGCTTTTCAGTTGACTGCCTTTCGGTTGAGGGCCTTTCAGTTGACTGCTTTTCAGTTGATGGCCTTTCAGTTGACTGCCTTTCAGTCGAGATCTTTTCAGTTGACTGTCTTTCGGTTGATTGCCTTTCAGTTGAGGGCCTTTCAGTCGACTGCCTTTCAGTTGACTGCCTTTCAGTTGATTGCCTTTCAGTTGAGGGCCTTTCAGTCGACTGCCTTTCGGTTGAGGGCCTTTCAGTTGACTGTTTTTCAGTTGACTGCCTTTCAGTTGACTGCCTTTCGGTTGAGGGCCTTCCAGTTGACTGCCTTTCGGTTGAGGGCCTTTCAGTTGACTGCTTTTCAGTTGAGAGCCTTTCAGTTGACTGCCTTTCAGTTGATAGCCTCTCAGTTGAGGGCTTTTCAGTTGACTGCCTTTCGGTTGAGGGCCTTTCAGTTGACTGCTTTTCAGTTGATGGCCTTTCAGTTGACTGCCTTTCAGTTGAGGGCTTTTCAGTTGACTGCCTTTCGGTTGAGGGCCTTTCAGTTGACTGCCTTTCAGTTGATAGCCTCTCAGTTGAGGGCTTTTCAGTTGACTGCCTTTCGGTTGAGGGCCTTTCAGTTGACTGCTTTTCAGTTGACTGCCTTTCAGTTGATTGCCTTTCAGTTGATTGCCTTTCAGTTAAGGGCTTTTCAGTTGATACATCTTCAGTTGAACGCTGAGTTGATAAATCTTCAGTTGAACGCTGAGTTGATACATCTCCAGTTGAACGCTGAGTTGATACATCTTCAGTGGAACGTTGAGTTGATACATTTTCAGTTGAATGTTGAGTTATTTTTTCTTCAGTTGAACGCTGAGTTGATACATCTTCTGTTGAACGTTGAGTTGATGCATCTTCAGTTGAACGTTGAGTTATTTTTTCTTCAGTTGAACGCTGAATTGATACATCTTCAGTTGAACGCCCAGTTGATACATCTTCATTTTCTTGTTCTGGGGTGGGTTTCTCCGTAGTTTCCCGTTTTATGGTGGGTTTCTCCGTAGTTTCCCGTTCTGTGGTGGGTTTCTCCGTAGTTTTCCGTTCTGTGGTGGGTTTCTCTGTAGTTTCCCGTTCTGTGGTGGGTGTCTCAGTAGTTTCCCGTTCTGTTGTCGGTTTCTCCGTAGTTTCCCGTTCTGTTGTCGGTTTCTCCGTAGTTTCCCGTTTTATGGTGGGTTTCTCAGTAGTTTCCCGTACTGTGGCGGGTTTCTCCGTAGTTTCCTGTTCTGTGGTGGGTTTCTCCGTAGTTTCCCGTTCAGTTGAACGCTGCGTTGATACATCTTCAGTAGAACGCTGAGTTGATACATCTTCAGTTGAACGCTGAGTTGATACATCTTCAGTTGAACGAGGAGTTGATACCTCTTCAGTTGAACGCTGAGTTGATACATCTTCAGTTGAACGCTGAGTTGATACATCTTCAGTTGAACGCTGAGTTGATACCTCTTCAGTTGAATGCTGAGTTGATACATCTTCAGTTGAACGCTGAGTTGATACATCTTCAGTTAGACGAGATGTCCTCTCTGTAGTTGGTCGCGGTGTTGTAGACGGGTCCTTGAAGGCGACAGTTGAGCTGACGTCCCCAACTTGATTACTGTCTGTTTGCTGTTCAGTGGAGGGTTCATCTTCAGATAGGAAGTTCAGTTGGTATGTATTCTGTTGACCTCCCCGTGGAGGAGTATTCAGAAATTGCCCCTCGTTCGATTGATGTTGAGTCCTCAGATGAGGTAGTTCGAGCTGATGTTGGTTTTTCAGTGGAAGTTTTTTCTGTCGACGGCCTTCCTGTTGACGGCCTTTCTGTCGAAAGTTTTACACCTGTTGTTTGTTCTGTAAACGGCCTTTCTGTTGAAGTCAGACGTTCACTCGAAGTTTTATCTTCTGTCGGGAATCCAGAAGATGAAGTCGGACGTTCACTCGAAGTTTTATCTTCTTTCGGGAATCCAGAAGTTGACTTTTCTGAGGCAAATGTCCTTACTGCCGAGTCAGAAGTCGTCATAACCTCCACCCCATTATTTGTTGAGAACTCATCACTAGCTAGTTTCTCCGTAGTTTCCTGTTCTGTTGTCGGTTTCTGCGTAGTTTTCCGTTCTGTGATGGATTTCTTCGTAGTTTCCTGTTCTGTGGTGGGTTTCTTCGTAGTTTCCTGTTTTGTGGTGGGTTTCTCCGTAGTTTCCCGTTCTGTGGTGGGTTTCTCCGTTGTTTCCCGTTCTATGGTGGGTTTCTCTGTAGTTTCCTGCTCTGTGGTGGGTTTCTCCGTAGTTTCCCGTTTGGTGGTGGGTTTCTCTGTAGTTTCCCGTTCTGTTGTGGGTTTCTTCGTAGTTTCCCGTTCTGTTGTCGCTTTCTCCGTAGTTTCCCTTTCTGTGGTCAGTTTCTCCGTAGTTTCCCGTTCTGTGGTGGGTTTCTTCGTAGTTTCCCGTTCTGTTGTCAGTTTCTCCGTTGTTTTCCGTTCTGTGGTAATTTTTTTCGTAGTTTTCCGTTCTGTTGTCGGTTTCTCCGTCATTTCCCGTTCTGTGGTGGGTTTCTCAGTAGTTTCCCGTTCTGTTGTCGGTTTCTCCGTCATTTCCCGTTCTGTGGTGGGTTTCTCCGTAGTTTCTAGATTAGGTGTTGATGGACTATCTGACCCAGTGTATTGTCCTGAAAGGAAAATTTCGTGACAATTAAGCCAATACAGCAGATTATATACATATAATATATGTGTGTGCGCTACACCAATGGGAGACGGATTTTTTTTGTAAATTTTAGGTTTTAAAAAAGGAAAAAACGTCCGATTTGTGTGTAATACTGTCCACTTTAGGGGGTCTGGATATACCTCGGATTTACTTGCAGAACCGGTGGGCCCTGTCTAATTGTAGGCACCAGAAGAAGTAAACAACTAAATGAAAGCTACCAACATGATAAAGGGGACAGTCCCATCTATAAAGAATTTGTTAAAACCTATATTCTAATTTCTGGATGAGTTTTAAAATATCTGGTCAGTACTCCGTAGTCAGTGGACAAATAAACCAATTTCTTCAAAATTTCCAACCGCATGGTTGAAAGCTTCGAACACGCGCGCAACGTGCGCGCGCAAGATAAACATTAACCAGAGTGAAAAAGATTTGTATTTTTATACAAAAAAGCTTTCGCGCGTTACGTAACATCTGTTCAAAATTGTGACCAATCAACCCACTATCTAACGTTCAATGCAGTTAAAACTATAAAACTGATAAATAACGTACCACAGACAGAACCATCTTCATCTGCACCGTCACCACAATCGTTAACACCGTCACAAACCCAAGCTTCTAGAATACATCGCTCGCTGCTCGGACACAACCATCTCCCAGGCGGACAGTTCACTGAGGCTGAAATAGAACGGTTATTAATTAATCTTATATGCTTATAAGGTTAATTAATTTTATTTGTAGGTTCAAACTTAAAATCGATTGTGCTGATTGTTTTAAAATGAATTGGATACAGGTGTAGCCTTGTGAATTGAAATTCTCGCTTGAGATACTTATAAAGTAACTTATTTGAAATGGTAATATGCATATTTGATTGTGGGTATAAAATGAAAATCGTAATTTTACTAAAGATAACCCACACGATGTCCAAATAAGGAGATCACAAATAATTCACTTTACTTTGGACAAGTATTTGTAATTTGTATGCACGTAACCTTATTACATTTGACAACACTATAATTGGAGATTTTACATTTAATTTGTCTTCGAAAGTTTCTGGGTACAATTTGTCAACTCATTTCAACAATTGTGGTCAGTTGTCGCACATGTGAGCCGTGAGGTCCTATTTGTCACAATTAAGATATGCTACTGTCTAGTAAACACAAATACATGTTTGGAACATCTTCCAGCTATCCTGTCCTCTCTACATCTCCTTATATGGGAATCACGTGATGATATCTCGTATAATGAGGACTCTATCCTGCTAATATTTCCTGATTACTAGCTCTGTGAAAAGGTGTTCTAAGTAGATTACAGGAGAGTTTATCGTGTATTCTACCTTCACTTGTAAACTAATCATCTCTGCAGCTGTGATTCCTAATTAAAGTTCAGAAGTTGCAAAAGAAGGAACTAGAACTTGACATCCCTTACGCAATACAGGTAATACCAAAATAGGGAACCCTGCCTGCCTGCCTGCCAATTAGACTGTCTGTCTGCTAGACGGACAGATAGAGAGACGGACAGACGGACAGATAGAGACAGGTCACAGGCTGTCTAGATGCTACTGACACAGTATATCTCACGTACTTTACTCATCACTTAACTCATTATACAATTACTCTTATCTCTGTTCGGTAACATCCCCGACAAGTTACCTCCTTCAGCCGTACAGCGTGAAGTGGAACAGAAAGTGGAGTGTAACAGAAAGTGGAGTGGAACGGGGGGGGGGGGGGTACCAATGGCATAAAATGGCATAAATGGCATACGTTTTATGGCATAAATGGAAATTTTTATTGGCCAATTCTCCATTATGCCATTTATGCCATTGGTACCCCCCCAGTGGAACAGAAAGTGGAGTGTATTGTGTAACAGAAAGTGGAGTGTAACAGAAAGTGGAGTGTATTGTGTAACAGAAAGTGGAGTGTAACAGAAAGTGGAGTGTAACAGAAAGTAGAGTGTAACAGAAAGTGGAGTGTAGCAGAAAGTGGAGTGTATTGTGTAACAGAAAGTGGAGTGTAACAGAAAGTGGAGTGTAACAGAAAGTGGAGTGTATTGTGTAACAGAAAGTGGAGTGTAACAGAAAGTGGAGTGTAGCAGAAAGTGAAGTGTAACATTAAGTGAAGTGTAGCAGAAAGCGGAGTGGGACAGAAAGTGAAGTGGAACAGAAAGTGGAGTGTAAACTAGTTAATATTTCTGGTAATTGAGCTGATTTCCTGTTATCTTCTTGATGATATATTTGTGTGAAATCTAACACGCAACCTTATTATAGGGAATGGGGGTTGTATCTCGTGTATAAACACAAGCAATCATGTTTACATTCCTTACTCTCAGTTTTGCAATGCAATTCTTCACATACTAATCAATAAGCTTGTTTACAGCAACAAGCACTGATTAGAGCGGGCTAAATATACGTGATGCCCAAATAAGGTAATGGAGCGTGTTAAATTCGCCACGTGATGCCCAAATAAGGATTGTAAATCTTAATTCTACAGCATGGTCCTGCAGAGTTTTGCAGACAGGAGATATTTTAAAACATAATTGTTATCGTGTAAAGTAGCACACTACTTAAAGTGTTAAGAATTTTAAAATATTAGGGGTCAAAGTGTTTTAAAACCTTTCATATGATTACAACAGATTTAATTAAAGGATTGGGACTTGCTACAATCTCAATTATTTTATTAATCGATTTCCTTTCACTGTTAAACACTGACGATAATGTCTACTAATAATATAATCTTAAACTTACGATTATGGTCGAGAGGCCAGATTGAAACCACAGAGGCCAGCAACTCACAGAATATCACCAATTGTAACATTCTAAACACTGACTATCTGATGATATCACAAATAATTCCAGCTAACACTGTTTCAGTGACACAGTTTTCTGGAAGTTTCTGGAAAACTTCTGGAAGTTTCTAGAAGGTTCCGGGTAAGTAGTCCTGGATATTATCCCCAGGTTCTGAGAGAGTTCCTTCTCACTGGGTTAGTTGAGTGTGGTGTTGTGTTAAACTTGAGCAGATCATCTTTTACTGATACTCATGTTAACGTCTACTTGAGAGGTGTGTTAGCAAGCTATTGTCACGTGTTAGATCAGCCTGATCTAACATTATCCTTACACTATCACTACAAACTATCACTACACACTTTCTTAAGCCCACACTTTTAATTTAGAGATTAAGTGTGTCACAGAACATTCAGTGTGTCACAGAACAGTACTAGAATCATACAATCCTACATATTCAGTACTAGAATCATTTAATCCTTCATTGAATATAAAATCATATCATTTCGAAAAATAGAAATATAGAAGATTTAACGACAACGTTATCGAATCATATGCTATCGGTAAGAAGTTGGGATGTTAGATGAAAGAGATGGGCGTGAAAGCGACAAACGTAACAAATTCTACTATAATCTAAGTAAATCATATCAAACCTAACAAATTCTACTATAATCTAAGTAAATCTTATCACTTAACACTTTTCAGACAAGAGTTTAGAACGATCACTAACCAGCCTGTAAAATAGCAAATACGTTTCTCCGGGTAAACGTAATGTTATATCATAACTTTGTAAGAAACACTGTAAAAACACACAAATGTGAGATACCCTGGAACTTTGTAGCAAGAGTTACAGGAATCTAATGGAACAACTAGAAGTATTCAAACTGTGGCAAGATATAGCAAGACATAGCAAGATATAGCAATATATAAATCAAGAGGCTTGCATATAATGAACATATTGACATGGGTGCAGAGTTGAGTCTGTACGGAACCCAGTAGTTTCAGTTCCTTGTTTAACTTGCCGTACAGCGTATAGCAAGATGTAGCAAAACATAGCAAGATATAGCAAGATGTAGCAAAACATAGCAAGATATAGCAAGATGTAGCAAGATGTAGCAAGATGTAGCAAAACATAGCAAGATATAGCAAGATGTAGCAACATGTAGCAAAACATAGCAAGATATAGCAAGATATAACAAGTTAAGTGGTAGGAAGTGGTAAGATATGGTTAGAATTTATAGCAAGAAATAGCACAATATTGTAGTGTAAAACATATTATGTCAGAAGAAGTTACGGTTGTGAATGTGTCAGGTAAATTGGCCGAGTTAGAATACTCTCCACGCGTTACACACGGGAATTATGATAAAATGCGATGATCTGTTACAAATACACTCTTGATCATACTATCAAACCACGGTCTGTTTACACAGATACGTCTCAGGTTAACGGAACAACTTCCGGAAATGTGAACATACTTGGATCAAAATAGTATTTCAAATAATAATAAAAAAAGAGATCGAGAACAAGTATTTTAATCTTGCACAGAATTAAACTGGCCAAAACTTGTTGCCCTGCAACAGTGATGTATAAATTAGCGGTGGTAAGGGTATAAAGTTAGGTCATATCATAGCCACCAACTGTGCAAATTATCCGCAAAGCCAGATTTAAATTTGCTGATCCAGCTGATAAGGAAAAACCTGGAGCATCCGTACAAAATACAATTTGAGATAAAGAGAATTAACAAACTCCCCCCATATTGTAACGATGACATATTACACAGCACATTATGACGGGAAGACTGGAAATCAGATTAGAATCCCGCCCTTCTGATTTAGGGAGCGGTGTGATATCACACCTACTTCAGGATTACTAGCGGTCACCCGGACAGACACTTTTAAATCTAGTTATTTTGAAGGAGCTCATCATTAAACACAAGCAATGTAGTGATAAGAAGGTGAGCAAAATTGGGGATGAAAAGAAGGAGGAAAAGGGAGGAGGAATAGGGGAGGAGGAAAAGGGGAGGAGGAAAGGGGGGGGGGAATGAACGAAAAGAGGGAAGGAAAGGAAGGGGAGGAAAAGAGAGGCTGAGTTCTACACTAAAATTTAATAACGACCAAATCACCAGAATAACACGAACAATAGAATATCGGGGATTGAAACTTGATCACTCTCCTCATGCTTCTCCTTGTTACGTTCTCATTGTCACTGTAACCTGAGATGCACACATGTGGGCTGTCCCACCTAGATCGGGATTCAAAGAATTTAAACTGTTTTGCGGATTCCGCTCAAAGACAGAGGTGAAATATGGTTACAACAACTTTAGAAATACAGCAAGCAAGAAGAAATGTTATTGTTAAGGACGGAGTTTAAAGAAGGGCGGTTAAGGAGGTTAAGGAGGGAGGTTAAGGAGGGATGTTAAGGAGGGCGGTTAAGGAGGGAGGTTAAGGAGGGAGGTTACGGAGGTTAAGGAGTGCGGTTACGGAGGACGATTTATTATTGTTAAGGAGAGAGTTTAAGGAAGGCGGTTAAGGAGGTTAAGGAGGGAGTTTAAGGAGGGCGGTTAAGGAGGGAGTTTAAGGAGGCGGTTAAGGATGTTAAGGAGTGCGGTTACGGAGGACGATTTATTATTGTTAAGGAGAGAGTTTAATGAAGGCGATTAAGGAGGTTAAGGAGGGAGTTTAAGGAGGGCGGTTAAGGAGGGAGTTTAAGGAGGGCGGTTAAGGAGGGCGGTTACGGAGGTTAAGGAGGGCAGTTAAGGAGGGCGGTTAAGGAGGGCGGTTAAGAAAGACTTATTATTGTTAAGGACGGAGGTTTTAGAGACGCGACATCTAAACACTAGTTATAGGACCGTTAAACTTGAAGATAGTTGGAACATTAAACTGAAGTCTAAATAAAATGA